TATTTCTATAGTAGGAATAATAATATAGATACAAAGTAGGCTTATAGTTCGTAACCATAAAATATTTTAAGTAAATACCTAATATGCTGTAATTTTTGTGGAATGACATTGAATTTCCTTTGTCTATTGTTTTTTTTTCTATAAGAGAGCCTGCGTTATCAATATTTCTTTGTCAGGCAGCAATAGTGGACTCGGCAGAGAGAAGTATTCTTATCTGCATTATCGTTTACTAATTACACTTGTAGTTCTACCTTTGGAGATACTCTATTGTTATTTCAACTTGGTTTTTGTCATTGTTTCGTTCGAGGAAGCCAAATGCGCCCATCATGATTTAAAAATAAACAAACATTCTATATGTGGATGACGTCCCGTCCGAGTCTCTCAGTATAATTTGGAAAGTCAAAGTCAGTAAGCACAGTCGGCTACCTCTAGCTGAGTGTACTTATTGATTTTAATTTTTTTTTTTTATTTTCTTTTAACCTTTAACACAAAGATCTAAGATTGTAGCGTCTAAATGTAACGTTGACCACATTTGTTAAAAAGACTACCAGGCAAGTTTCTTGTTCATTCTTTCTACGCTGAATCTGCTATCCATAGGAGCGGTAGAATAAAAATAACGACAATTTAAAAGATATTATTGCTATTAATAATATGACTCTGTAATGTTGGTACACTACACTTTGCGAACCAAAACATGGTGTAGATACAGTAAGTTGTTTTTTACTCAAATTATAACGGTATAGTTTTTATGTCAGAATAATGACAAACAATTATACGGGTCCTCTGATGGTAAATGTGACAATAGACGTATGAAAACGAAGAGTTTTATGTGTGCGTTGCGGACTCACAGAAACCATAATAAGTATTTTTTTATTTTTTGTGGATCTATTCATGTGTGTATATTATGAAATTATTATATGGGCATATAACTAGAAAAAGTAATTATAAGTACAAGTACTGACCTAGTGAAGAAAAAAGAATATATAAGACTTAAGATAATAATGAATACTTGTATCGTTATTTTTTTTTAATAATATTAGAACTACTCTAGAAGTTATTTTTCCAACTATTAAGACTTTAATAATGGAACACTAAAAACTGTTCAGATTTCACAAACATGGGCTTGTATTTAAAATCTATAAAGGAACCGTCTCTATGACTAAAGTGGTAATAAAATAAAAATATATCCGAATATAGACGAATAATATATAAATATATAAAATATAAATAGAATAGTAATATCTATTGTTCATGTCCCGTAAACAATTAGCAAGTTTATTTCCGTCATATATAGGTATATGACGATGTTGTGACTGTTACTGGAATTGTAAATATGTAATAACAAAACCAAAACAAAAAACTGTAATATTGAGAAACTCCGCCCTTAGAAGTGGATACAAATTAATATCTAAAACACGGAGTGTCGAGGCAGTTAACCTATCTAACTCGATGTAGATATAGAAATCATTACGGCAGTATTCGAGGGGTCTGAGCAGCGGAGTTCTGCGCATGCGAGAAAATCGCTGTCGACCGATAGATACCTTTACTGTTACTTTACTTATGATAGCATAATAATAACGCAATCTTGTTTTACATTAAAAAAAACTACTGCATAAACATAGATCTAGCATAGGCTTGCAACGCCGCCTGCGTTACCACGGTTACCTGGGATCAAATTTCTGTGTCACTATTCCAAATGCTCATAATTCTCATATTATACGTACTATATAGGTACTACGTGAAGCAAATTTCGTACCTCTTTTTACGAATATTACACGAAGTATGAAATTTATAACAGTTAGTTATAGAGTCTATATAAAGGAGTGTAGAAAACTAATACTTTTTTATAATATTGATAAAAAAAATACATAATTTTAATTAAAAACATCACACAATACCATGATTTTAATCAATAAATACACACTACCGACGCGTTCTGACTTCGCACGGATGTATTACAAATCTTTGAATTTCTCGGCCTGTTCTATACTATAACACGCGTGTATTATATATACACTTTCCTCTTGAATAATGCTATCAAAACTGTATTAAAATCCGTTTTGTAATTTAAAAGATACAAGGGAACAGACGGCGGTCACGATTTTATTTCATACTATATAAAAAAGTAGCACTAGCATCCAAAAGTAACCAAAAAATAAAATAAACATACTCATTTCGCATTTGCATTTCATACTATTATTAAAAAAAATGTTTGTCTATTTGTTACTATTTTACAACTAAACAGCTGAAAGATTCAACTTTGTCATTATTTACATGTAGTATTATAGAAATAAAGGGATATATTAACTTATAATTAAATAAAATTGAAGTCTGTAATTTCAAATTATTAACTATACTCTAAATGCATATAAGTATTTAAGCAGTATCATATAAAAATTATCTAAAAATAAGTAATTTGCAGTATTAAAAAAAAAATAGTAACAAGTACGTCATAACTATATGGTAATTACGTCAAGAAAATATAAAAAAAATGACTGTCAGTCTATGTGTGTCCGCGTGTGTGCGATCGCTAATATTATAAGAAGTTTAGGAATATTATTTATATTAATAAAAAAGGTAAATTCCACGCAACGAAGTCACGGGTAACAGCTACTAGTGATAAATAATGCGGTAATATACTGTGATTTTATTAATTTCACAAATTGAGTCATGATATTACTTTTTATAATTCATGTTTACTAAAATAATTATATTTTTACGTATTTATAAGTTACTCTGATTATGTTACTTTTAATGAAAAGGAAAATTTTATTAAAAAATTATACTATATAAATATAAACATGAGCTAAGTTGTTCTCAATTTGACCATGTAATACAAATAGTACTTTTTTTATATGAAGTAATGAACAAAAAATACAATACCCCATAACTATCTCGAATATTGAATTAGTGAATTAATACAGTAGGTGGGAGGATCTTGTTAGTGACATAGATTGCTGACCGATTGAGAACTGATCATTTGCTATCAATTACCATCTCAGCTTGTCCCCGTGGAAACAATCACAATTAATTTCTAATGATTTTGCCACAATGGTCTAACTGATGTGACATATTTTTCATCTTATCATCCTCCCCATTACTGGTACCCCATAAGCCATTAAGACAAGCAAGAGCATAATTTTTTTTGTAATTCTCAGTAATGTTTTTGTTTTGTCTGTTTTAATGGTTTATGTTAATTTTATATTATGTTGATTATAATTATGTGTGTCCTGTGTTTAAGCATCAACCTAATAGATACCATTTCATTTCATTTGATATCATCCATTAAAAAAAAGATATAGTACTTCAGTAAAATCACTTCCCCTCCTCCACAAGCACATATTCATAGATTTGTATTTTAAAGTTATATAAAAATTATATAGTTTAGATAAATTTCTCGTAATTTTCTCAAAAAATATTATTATAAAATTTATAATCATTTTTAAAGTTTTAAATGTAAGTTTGTTGTTTTATTACCTGTGTCTGGGCAATGCCATCAGGGCTTATCAATAATGCAGTATTCAGATACAGTACCTACTTGTATTTTGTGTATAACAACATAATGAAGAAACATAACTTTTTTTTCTACAATTAAAAAAAAACTATTTTTGTACATTACGTTTTTATAGATATAGAAAAAAAACATTAGAGAGAACAAAAGAAATTATGATCTTATCCAAAATACAAGTACTTAAACAAGTGGAAATGGTCAGGGCATATATAATATACCATCACCACTGTACCGAAACAGCCACCATGAGATAGGAAGAGAGTGATGGCATTGCATTATGTTCAGAAGGAAAACAAGGCCAAGTAAATAAGGAAAAGGAAGATATTGATGAACAACAATGAAAAAAAGTTGACCACTACAAAAAATCTTATGTTAATATTATAAATGTGAAAGTTTGTGAGTTTTATTATCATGCAATAACTACTCAACGGACTTTGATGAAACTTTACAGTAATATAACTTATACAGCAGAATAACTATAGAAGCTATAAATTTCATGCCGATGAAAACTAAAGTGAGACAAAGTACTTATAACTAAATGCACATTCTAGTCATTAATCAATATAATGTGATATATATAGCAGCATATAAAATATGTTCTAAATTTATATATATAGATATATATTTTGCAGTTTACCATAAACACATAATAATAAATTTACTTCATTCCATAAAGAAACTAATTTTTATTATCATAATTTGATATCATAGGCAGTTAAGAATAATGGTTATAAAAATATAAGTTATTAATATGTGTGAAAAGGTAAGTAACAGATGTCACAGGCACAGTGATTTGCTTGCCATCTCTTTTCTCTTGTTCAATCAAAGGACAAAGATCATTTTCACCAACAAAAACAATTGTAACAATAAAGAAAAAGGACAATTTACTCAAATTGCAGATTGTTTATTAAAAAATATGTATATGTATTATAATATAATAAAATAGTCACTAAGTCAAGAAATAGACCACAGCATTTGTTGTCTTCATTAATACATACAAAAATTTTCTTAAGCTATCATAGCTTAAGAAGTTTTTTGTAAGTACAGTAATGTTAATACTTAGATATTACCAAATAATTTTACTTAGGTAACAATTAAAAATTATTTTACTTAGGTAACTTATAAAATGTCTTTTAATTTTTTTATTTACAGTCTGTTGCTTTTGTTTATTACATATTTACCCATAACTTGATTCATAATTATTCACATATCTATTCCAATCAAAATACTAGTTGCATTCTTGGGCTAGTGCTATATTTATTAAGTAAAAACTAAATTCCAATTGGAGCAATTACATTTAAATATTACTACACAAACAATTGCATTTAAAAATAACTCCATGTGAGAAATAAATATACTCAAATTGAAAATAGTAAGATATATCTTAAAGTTGAGTGACTTGTAATGTATTGTTTTCCAAGCTACACAATGGTATTTATAAATATGGAGATTAATGAATCATTATAGTGTATACATATATCATACTCACCAGTAAATAACTTGAATCCTTGTAGTAATATCTTTAAATTCACTGGTTACCGTTAATTATTTACACTAGCTATATATTTTAAGGAATAGTTTAAGGAGTATACTCTACTACTTTCGTCCAATCAAAATATAATTACACAAGTTGCCTGACGATGCAGGTAGATTGCACAAAGATAGCTTTTCTTTTGGTGCAGTGACCAAGTTCGCGAGTCCTAATTAGACTCAAACAATATTAATACACTAACACCATATACCGCTGACAATCTCATTTCAATATATTCCGCAATAATCACTTTCTTAGAATTATTTTAACACAAAATAACACTGAAAACATCAGCGGTGAATGAACGATCAATGATTAAAAAAAATTTACGTCACTAAAGCTGCCCATTGTAAACAATCGATTTGTAATACGTATGAACAATCAATCGATTTAAGTAGTAAACTTAAACATTGTAAAAGTCACTTATCATGATTACCGTACAGGTACAGCAATTTTACTGAAATTATGTAGCAATTCTATCCTTTGTAATAAAAAAAAATTACGTTATAATATTCTAAGAACATTCTCGATTTCCTAAATCCTTAAAAATCGAAAGTACTCTGGGCTGTACAGACTGATTACCATTGCTTAGAAAAAAAAAAATGGAACGACTGAGAAAATAAGGCAAATGCCAAAGCAGTCACCGGCTGTCAAATTTCGCGCGCTAATGCTACCAAAATATACTTACAATACAATTAACAAACTCCTAACTTTGAAAATATATATATTATTTTCTACGTTTAGTGCTATTAACTGATTGTATCTGTATCTGTTAAGTGTATCAAATTACTATGTCAACTCCATCTAAACGCCCTTCTTCACGAGCATCTTCAGAATCTCGGACTCCTTCAAGGAGGACACGTTCGTCACAACAGCTTATTGTCCCAGAAACTCCGCAACAGTCCACAGGAACACCTTCGAAAAGTAAATTAATTTAAATTTTGAATTAATACTATTTCCAGGTATAATGTAAATACAATCTACGGCTTTTAAAATGAAGATCATTGCAAACACCAAAAAAAAGTTTGAACGATCATCTAACGTATTTTTACAAAATATGATTCTTTGAAGTACTTTGTGTAATATCATTGAATGAGTTTTATTGTTTCTATTTGAATATAAATTTATCTACATGATAATAATCATGTAGAATTGATTTTATGTATGAAAATATAACCTAGTTTGGACAGATATGAAGTCTCGTTAGTAGATAGCATTATGAAAGATGTTGTGTTTTATCTTATTTTAAACCCTGTTGCAATGTTGAATACAAATCACAGTACAATATGCACATATTTTCACTAATTGTTTATTTATGTTGCATTGTTTATTTATTTTAAAAATGTTATCTTTCAAATTATGGTTCATTGCTTTATCCCATAGGTGGACATTGATTTATTAAACTTAGGAATGAACATAGAGTGAATGTATCTATTTGTTTTTATTCTGTTATCAATAGTTTTGGCAGTATATGTGATGAAAGACATGGCAAATTTTTTTACACTTTGAATTTTTAAGTCTTATTTTTTATATTTACTCAGGAAATTCAGGTGAAAGAATTATTGAAATTTGTTCAATTGTGTTCAATAACTGTAGAGAGAGATTGTGTTATATACTTTTCTGTAGGTTTATAAAATAATTAGTTTAAAATTATTCATATAATGATTTGGTCAATACAAAAATGCGATTACTTTACTTCTAAATTATCATATGAAATATCATATAAAAATTATAGTGTATTTTTTTAAGCTTAATTATGCTGCAAATGTTGTAGTTATAGAAAAACGAAATGAAAAATATTATTTTATTTCCAGATGGAACTCCGGGCACACCTAGAGGTACACCTGGCACACCCAGGGGGACACCTCGCACACCTGGTGTGCAGGTACCTGGCACATCACCAGCTCGTGCCTTAGCATCAAGTCCCATTGGTAATTTTTTTTATATTATGGTAGTGGCAATCAAGCATACGGCCCATTATATAGTAAATGATTACCGTAGCCTATAAATGCCTACACAATGCCTATACAAACACCAGGGATATCATGTATGCATTGCTAACCCTTAAGAAACCTTAAAATACCCTTCTTAAAATAATTTTAAAATTACAGTTAATTATAAGTATTATACACAGCATCATCTATTCCTAAGCTTTTTACTTTAATATTAAATTTAAGAAGAATATAATAATTGTTAATATAAAAAAAAAGAAACCAACAAAATGAAAAAATCATACTAATATATGAATGTAAAAGTGTTATTGATTGTTTGGTTATTACCTTTTAACATCTAAAGGGCTGCAATATTAATGAAATTTGATTTGTAGATGGTATCATAGACTCATTTCCATCTCAAATAAATGCCGGTAAGAACAACCAATACTTATATAATGTGTACATTTACAATTTATCTAAGAGCTGTATGTGATTAAAGAAAATTCATCATTATTATTCTTCTTTTCATTTGATACCTTTTGACAGTTTTGGGGTCGCTATAGGTATAGGAAATATGACTGACCTTGGCTAAAATATTAAATTAACTTAATAATATTTAATGCCTTAATTTTTTCAGGCACTGATATTGACATGAGCTCTCCATTAAATTACGGTACACCAAGCTCTTTGAGTACACCCCGGTCTCTCATGAGAGGTGTCATGACACCAGCTCGGCAAAGGGCTGACCTACGTGGCCATAATGTTGGTAGAAATGTACCAGCCCCGACACCAACCAGACAAGTATGTTATTTATTTAAGTTAAATAAATAGACCTATATATATATTGTACATGCATACATTTAAATTAGGTGGAGAGCACATTAATTCTGAATAACAGGTAGAACATGCAGCCTTTTTTGATATATTGATATAAATGTCTTAAATTAAAACATGTTGATATGTGCTTATGATATTAAATATAAAATCCCTCCTTACTACCCTTTTAAACTGGGGAATATTAATTATGGATATGCCTTCACCCCAGGGATTTTACAAGTGGGTATTCAGTTGGTATCAGTCTCGAGCACAATGGTGAAAGCTTGCATGAGTGGCCCCCCTCATATCATCATCATCACAACTGCTGCAAAGAAGTTTTACCACTTTCTCTGCTTCCGAACACTCTGGAATACAAATAACCCCCATTTCACACAATTTCAAGACTTTTTGTGTCAATGTCAGACTGTAATGGCTTAGTACTCTATCAAGATTAGAAAAACACTATTCAAACTAGAGATCATAAAAAATACGTAACATATACTAAATTATAGGCGGAGCAAGGAACCGCAGATGCAACCTCAGGAGAGCCTCAACTCGTTGTATGGGGTACCGATGTAGCAATTACGGAGTGTCGCGAGAAGTTCATCAAGTTTATCCAGCGATTTGTTGAACCTACTGCAGTTACAAATGAACCATTGTATGAACAAAAATTAGAAGAAGTAAGTCATATTCATTTGTAACCGTATCTCAATTTTTAAGCATCCAAGTTCCCATGAAAATGTTACTAATTTTTTTCTTACTAGATATTCACACTAAACGAAACTTATTTTTGTTTTCCTTATTAATTTTTCAGGCTATGTGCTTTAGGTTATGCTTTTAAGCTATGAGGAAGTCAGGCAGACAAGTCTTCTCATTAGTAAAAAAAATACTAAAATGTAAATTAAATATTTATTTTTAATTAGGCATTATACATGCCACTTGTTTTATTAAAACGGATTTTTATACATAAATTGTAATTATTCCTTCTTTTATGTTTTATAGGATTGATGTTTATTTATTAATTTATTTATGCCAGATACATACACTGGAGGAGCCCTTCCTGGATGTCGACTGTGAACATGTGAAAACGTTTGATGTCAAGCTCCATCGGCAGCTTGTTTCTTACCCACAAGAGGTAATTACATTTTCACCTGCACAAAATATATCTTTTTGTTATAAAATATACTCAACTAATATATAATAATAATAGACTAAACTAACTTTTAACAACTTTTACATTTTTATAAATGGTAGTAATCTGATAGGCATTATAGCACTCACCCATAAAAACTGTCAGTATCATTACTATGAAAGAGGTAGTAGAGGTATATTTCGACTCTATTACTGAGATATTTTATAAAATCTCTATTGTTTTTAGGTGGTTCCAGCTTTTGATGCAGCTGTGAATGAACTGTTCTTTGAAAAGTACCCAGCAGCCGTATTGGAGCACCAGATACAAGTTCGTCCCTTCAATGCACCACAGCGGCATATGAGGGACCTTAACCCAGAAGGTATACTAAACTAATGACGCATATTACATAATAACATTATTTGTAAATACAAACTTCAAAGTAACTAATAATTTCAACCGTGTTTTATTGTCATTGAATAAAAACATGAGTGTATACACTGTGGTACACTTTGAACACAACTTTAACCCTAAGTTTTAAATACATACGTAAACATAGCCAACATAACAAATTTTATTTTGATATTAATACAGTGCAGGGCAACCGAAATAAGGAGTTACATTGCAGTCACGTAATAATGTGTATATAGACGACATTTACTATCAATGTTTCCTTGTTTTCTATACCAGTTATAAAAACTACTACATACATATTGTTACAGTTTATTATAAAGTATTTAAAAAATCTCTATATTGTTATAGACATCGACCAGCTGGTGACCATCTCAGGCATGGTGATTCGTACGTCAAACATAGTGCCAGAGATGCGCGAGGCGTTCTTTAAGTGTGCGGTATGTGGCGCGGGAGCCGCAGCCGAGCTGCAACGCGGCCGCGTACCGGAGCCGGCGCATTGTTCCCACTGCAACACTGCTCACTGCTTCCAGCTTATACACAACCGCTCGCACTTCAGCGACAAGCAACTTGTCAAATTGCAGGAGTCGCCCGGTAATTAGTTTCTTTTGACTTTATTCTCTTTACATTCTCAATATTGCATACTAGTGATATTGTAACACTGTAATCATTGTATCCCTTCTGGCTTTCCCGCATTACGAATGTGTCGTGTAGGGGAGAAAGTGGAGTGTTAGTAATGTGGACTAATGACTCCATTGCTAGCAATGCATGGTGCATGTTGACATGATCAGGTTGACCTCGATGCGGGGAACCACATCGAGGTTCCAGGAGGAATCCTGGAAACCATTATTATAAATTCCTGGTAAATTTGTCACGATGGGCTGACTAATTTGACCTCATGTTCATCATATCGTCTACCACTGGTGCCCGCATAAACGGGAGCCCAGGTGGGAGCACCATATCATTATTAACCATTAAAAGAAATGTGTTGTATAAACGCAGCTATTACTAATATATCTTTCCCCCTATGTGGTGTCATAGACGACATGCCCGCGGGCCGTACACCGGCGACTGTGAGCGTGCTGAGTCACGGCGCGCTGGTGGAGGCAGCTGGCGCGGGCGAGCGCGTGGCCGTCACGGGTGTATTCCGCGCCGCGCCCGCAGCCGTACACCCGCGTCGAGCCACGCTGCGTGCACTGCATCGTACACACCTCGATGCATTGCATTACCGCCGCGCTGCGCCCGACCGTCTACACGAGATTCAGGACGGGTGAGTACCATCCCGATACACATGCCTCATGACACACTGCATCACATGCCCTACAATGACGATTTAGTACTCTTCCGATACACTTTATTCTTCCTGCCGCATAGTTAAAATTTTATGCCACCAATTCGTCATTTCAAATATGTTTTGTTAAATATGATAATGCTTATGTTGAAACAATTCCAATTGTTTTAACATCGAGTAATCTGACAAAGTCTATAGTCGGAGTTGCGAGTTTAACGTTTTTTTTTGGTAGCAGGGCTCAGTTTCGTTGATACTAGAAACCCGTTCTTCCGTTCCCGTTCCATTTCTTCTTCCCTGGGAAAAGGCGCGAATAGACATACGCAAGTCCGATCTTACAGTTGTCACTGAGTCAAGGCGTAACATGAAGGGGCAGCTGTTATGTCTTAGATCAATATTGTACCATGCCTACTCACATAGTAGTAGCCATAATACTTTTAAAAAGACATCCAGGACGATGATTTAGTTTAATAGATCATAATCTAAATTATACATTTTTTTAAAGCATGATTTATTTTATTTATTTAGTAAAGAACACCACTTCCCACCGGAACGCGTAGAACTGTTCAAGGCTCTAGCAGCACAGCCGGATAGTTATGAGCGACTCGCGCGAGCTATAGCCCCATCCATTTACGAAAACCTTGATATCAAGAAGGGGGTGTTGCTGCAACTGCTTGGTGGGACTAAGAAGAACTTTAATGCTGCTGGCAGGACACATTTCAGGTAAATTAAAAAAGAACTAAAATGACAGTTCATTTATACCAGAAGGAGATAGTCATTCACAGAGTCATTGTCAACTGTCGATGTTATGGTGAATGCAACACTTGACATGCCCACATTTACATAAATCAAATCAAATGAAAAATGATAAAATTATTAAAGCATTTTAGCAGGTTAAAACTTTAAAGTTTTTTGTTTTAATATTTTTTTCCTTAATATTGTATATTTGTATCCAACATGGCAGGGCTGATCCTACCACCATCTCTCAGATTAATTTGCTTATATATTGGTGTTTCAAAGGAGCATCTCTGAAATATAAATTAGCAGTAAGATTCTGGTGTTAGTCAGCCCTCCGATCGACCCCTGTCCAATTGAAACGGGAATCGAAATTACGACTGCCTGATCCGAGGTTTGAAACGCTAGCGGTGCTCTCAGACTAAAGTCCTGGGTTCGGAGCTGGGTTGGAGCGTCCGGTGAAGCTGTAAAGGATAGCTGCGGTCAAAAGTATTAGAAAAGTCCGGGAAAAAAATGCGAGTTAGTCAGATTTGAATTCAGCAACTTTGGGTTCAAGTCCGTATATATAATAGTAAAGCACTAGGTCATAGGGTTGTAACATTACTATATTACTTAATACATAATAGTACTATAATATAGTTTACACGTACAATCGTGATCAATTCCTCATCAGATCAGAGATCAACATCCTGCTGTGTGGAGATCCCGGCACTAGCAAGTCACAGCTGCTACGCTGGGTACACGGGCTGGTACCGCGTGCCCAGTATACTTCCGGTCGTGGTTCCTCGGCCGTCGGTCTCACCGCCTACGTCACCAAGGACCCGGACACACGCCAGCTAGTTCTGCAAACGTTAGTATTATAAATATACAAACATATATAAACGTACATTGATCCAATCACACATTCACGTACAAGCACTATGCTCAGGTTCACTCACAGTAGGCAATATCGGTATAGGCTGAGGCCTTTTGTCTGTTCACATTGAAGAGAAATATGGTTTAAAAAAAAAACAATAGACATAGTTCTTGATAATTTTCTAATGATGTTGTAATCAAATTTATCATAACTTTTTTAACTTGTTACAGAGGAGCCCTCGTTCTAGCTGATAATGGAATATGCTGCATTGATGAATTTGACAAGATGAATGACTCAACTCGCAGTGTTCTGCACGAAGTTAGTGTTATAATTTTTAGTTACAATTTCTCATACTTGTATCTTTCTTATCCTTGTATTTTTTTTTTAATATTTATTCAAGAGTGCTCAGGTTTGACTATATTTATAGATATTTTTTAATTATTACTGTTAATTTAAAATATTTAGGATCGCGTTGCCGATCCATATGACATCCTTGGTGTTTCAGGCGTCTATTCTATCTATATTCTTTAACATTGTAACTACATTCTGTACTATTATTGCATAGTATCTTTATAGTCTTTATATAAAAGTATATAAAGACTAGTTGGAGAGCAAAAGAAGTCAGCCACCATCATATCTTTGCCTGTAGTGTGAAATATATGAATTAAAAATTAGGAACGAATTGTGTTATTTACGAAAATAAAATGATTTCGTGGAAACATCGCATATACCGCATAGCAATAGTTTAAGTATGTTTTTTTTCTTTTGTGGAAATAGGTAATGGAACAACAAACCCTATCTATCGCAAAAGCAGGCATCATCTGCCAATTGAACGCGCGCACCTCAATATTAGCGGCCGCTAACCCAGCTGAATCTCAATGGAATAAGAATAAGACTATAGTAGAAAATGTACAACTACCACATACGCTTATGTCCAGGTAAATATATTTGTAATCTATAAACTACCAAACGCAATATGTTTTTTTACGTAATAATTAGGTTGATATTAGGCTTCCTTTCTATTCCAATTACGTAATAAGTACCGCATTAGTAAACTGAACCTGTTAATGGAAAAATAAAAATAAAAAAATTATTAAAATACAAATGTACACATGTTGGGCCTCCCATATTGGATTTGATTATTATAAGTATAAAATTTATTCAAATTCAAAAATCATTTATTCATGTAGGACATTTTAGCCGCTTATGAACGTAAAATTTTTTGTATTATAATTTTTTATTATTTATTATAGCGTAAGTGAAAATTTTGGGTTATATAAAAGGTTAAAAACAAAATATTTTTTAGTTTCACATACCCTTACTCTTATATGGGTATCTCCGAAACCGAACTTTCGGTCGGACACTAAAAAATAGATTATCCTATTCTCGGACCTACCAAGTATACATATAAAATTTTATCAAAATTCTGTAGTTTAGAATTCCATCGCGGACCAACAAAGTGACACGAAATTTTTATATATTAAGATATATAATTGTTGTCTTGTTGTGAATGTGACGATTATATTGCATTGCCCAATAAAGTAATATGAAATGTATTTTAGATTTGACCTCATATTCTTGGTATTGGACCCGCAAGACGAGGTGTTCGACAGGCGATTGGCATCGCATCTTGTGTCATTGTATTTCCAAGATGCTACTAATTCCCAGGACGACCAGGAAGTCGTGGTAAGATTTTATAATCTTAACGATTAAAAACTCAACTAATAAGCTTAAGGTATGCGGGACCTACTTGGACAGATTCCAAAGTCCATCATTAATGATTTACATCCGAGCAAATCTGATTTTATCGGAATTTTGCAATTGTCCTAAAACAAGTGTTCCGTAAGAATAGTATTTCTATTTCTCTTTATTTTCTTTGCTAACTTAGTAAGGAACTTTCGATGTAGGTAGTTTTATAATCAGCCGTCTCAAGGTAAACTAGAGCTGTGCTAAATCGGGCTAATTTAGCAGCCAATCAGACTACAGTCACAAGTATAAATGTGAAATAAGCAATGAAAATAGTTACACTTTTTAAGTAATCTTTAGACTTAAAAAGTGGTGTAAAAGAAATAACACTCGCAAATCAGTGTAAAACCAACATTCGTTTCTTTTATGTTTTATTATACGTTAATTATACGTTACGCGAGCTTGCGCTTTTAGTATTGGCTGGCGATGTACCAGTGGAGAGACAAAACAGTAATTATGAAGGTCAGCATAGCCAAGTTCGAAAATCCCAAGGAATTAACACAATGGCTTCCAAAGGGGACTGACGTGTTCCTTGTTCCTATTACTATTACCTTCCCTAACCCCAAACATTTATTTTTACAGGATATGGCACTTATGCGGGACTACATTGCGTTCGCGAAAGAGCACGTACAACCGACGCTAAGTGAAGCGGCGCAACAAAGATTGATAGACGCATATGTCGATATGAGGTAATGCTAAAATTAAATGTTTTCCGTTACAAAACGTTGATATTCTTTAGAGGACTAAAGAATATCAACGTCTTCTAACGGATCATGAATAATGTCACGCACTCGAGGTTGAGAGCTTCAATCTTTGTAGTCTTACTTAGAGATGGAAATTGAAATCGAAACCCCTTTATTAATTGGAAGGAGAAGTCACAAGCTTCATGTAAAAAAATATGAAATCTAGCAGGATTGTCATCCCTGTGAAAGAGATCTTAATTTTTGTGTAATGACGTTTGAATTTTAGTGTAAAAATTACGAAATTTCAACTATTAAAATGTGAGGAGAAGGGGTCTAAGATTAGTAAAATAATTTAAGGTTTGAGTGAAAAATAATTACTGACATGTTAATAAAAATACTGGTATTTTATAAAATATCGTATAAGATTGAAGCTCTAACTTTCCACTAATATACTTAACAAGTTAATCTACTAAAGAGATAATCTGACCACAAGTTCATTATTTTTTATTACCTCTCCTTGACTTCCTATAATTTTTATCTAAATCTATTTAGCGTTATGATTATAAATGTAATAAATTTAATACATATTTATAATTACTATATCTATGGTAATAATAAGAGATTTATGTCTTACTAACTACTCGCCCCAGCTTCGCACGGGTGTACATGTTATTACATATAAACTTTTTTTGTGGAATCATTTTATCTATTACTAAAAACTGCATTAAAAGCAAGTGGACTGAAACGCCTTCTTCTTGGTATTTCTGACTGCATCTTGTTTTTTTTTTTCTTATCTTATTCAAGTTCAAATTTTTTAGTTGTTAAAACTCATATTGACAGACGTGTCGGTAGCGGCCGCGGTCAGATATCCGCATATCCTCGTCAATTGGAGTCCCTCATCCGGCTGGCTGAAGCTCATGCGAGAGTGCGACTTTCTTCTGTAGTGGAAATATTAGACGTGGACGAAGCGGCAAGGTCAGCACTTTTTAACAAATTTGCAAAAAAGTATATGTGATGAAACCACAGCTATTTTACTATGTTAGATATAGAATGTTCCCATTTTTTACATATAATAAATTAAGGTAAATATATCATATTTTCACACTAGAATCTAACACTGAATTTTATGTTAATATAACGAAAATTATAATATATACAATGTTCTATTTGTCGTTTGTTATCAATATGAAAATTATTTTAACAAGTTTATATATAAGTATATATTGTTATTTGAAATATAATTTAGGGCCATAATTTTTAATTTTTGACATATATTTTAATATGTTATTGTCATAGTTTTAGTCTGTAGTTAACAAAGTAACAGAAAATGTCCTATACAAATAAATGCTTCTGACTTTCCTTAAATGCTAAAAGAAGAGTTCTATAAAAATATCAACGTTAGTCTCTTTAAGGCTAACTCAAAACCTACTGGTCAGATCTTGATCAAAATTATATCAAACCACATATGAAACACCAGTATTCAAACCAAATTGCTCATATAGAAAAAGTTACAAATAGAGGAGTTATTTATTTGAATTCTGTTGAAAATTAGCTTGAATGGAAATAACATTAAGCTTTATTTTGCTTTACATCTGACCATTTGAAATACAGACTCCACCGTGAAGCCTTGAAGCAGTCTGCCACAGATCCAGCTTCAGGCCGCATCGACGTCGGCATCCTCACTACAGGGCTGGGCGCAGCCGCACGCCGACGTCGCGCTGACTTAGTGGCTGCACTGAAAGAACACATCCAGCCATACTCCAAACCCCATACCATTACACATTCCAAGTTGCTGCAAGAAATCAACACTAATGCTCAACTTGTAAGTAATACATTCTATCGAATAAGTGTAGCAAACAAGCTGAAGGCCAACCTGAAAAGTCTACCGTCGTTTATCCCTACATACTTCAAACTCAACATTAACTTGACATTGTCTGGTAGAATCCGCGGATACTCTTCATGCATTGCCATTTCTGATAGGTTTTTTTTTGACTACTCTGTTTTTGGCAGCAGCTGGTCTTTTCAGCTTCACCGGACAATAGGAGGCGAGTGCAAATGCCTGTTGGCCTGAAGGCCAACTCCCACTTATCAGAGGGTACCGCCAGGGGTAGAGATAGGTGAAAGAAGAGACTGCACAGTCCGCAGTCTGTATTCTAAACATGTACAATCACACATCACATGACGACAACTTTTTCACAATTAAGTGATGTGCAGATAGATTCTACTACTAGGAAAGGATATGGGCTGCCTTTTCTCTAAAAAACAGAAGTCATGAATATCAGCTAATAAAAATATAAATGCTAATCGGATTAAAAAGGAATCATTTGTTTACAGACGGTGTCACGAGAGCAATTGGACGAGGCGCTAAGAGATCTGCAGGACGAGGGGAAGGTCGTCATTGTGAGCCACACCCATCTCAGACTCTGTTAACTATTATAAATCGTCTTGTTAAAATAGTATATAAGCTTCGAAATTGAATCAATGATATTATTTTTTAAATAAAATTAAGTTTACCATAAATTTGTGTTTCCGTTGATCTAAACCTGTACAATAAATTCACAATTGTGTAGTATTTACCAACAGGATCGAATCATGATGAAAAATCAATCAAAACATGGTGCTGGTTGAAACTTGCATTTTTAAAAATGAAATAATGAATGCCCTCGAGTATTCACTCTAATATTTTATCATTGATAAGCATAGTAGTAATATCAGTTCTTGTCATGGAGTCTCTGGTCCCTAGACTATCTGGTTATAAAGAAAATTCAGTTTCTCAGTTTAATAAATTAAGTTTATTTACATTTAGTGTATAAAAAGCCTGTGGCAGCATAACAATACAACATATAATTTACCTTCCTTAATATGTCATACAACACATTACTGCTTTATAGGCCAATCATATAACTATGCCAAATTTAAATGCACAGGATTTCACACCGTGTATTTCTTAAAGCTACGTTTTTATTTAGAGGGGTTCTAATCAAATGAGGTATGGGTTTCAGGATGTTAACATTTTTACCTGATAAGAATTATTAAAATAGAAATATAGTAATATTATGGAATGGATGTACATGATGGGAATAAAAGGAGAAGACATTATTAAATTGTAGTTCGATTACTAACCATCATTTCCATACGTCAATAGTTTCTTTATCGTATCAAACCTATTTTAAATTGTGGCTATCTTAGAATACTACATTTAAGGCACACTCAATATAACGATAACAATTAAAACAACAGAAATTTGCGGACAATTATCTTGTTACAAAATAATATAACTTATATCATAATGAAGCTAAAGTTTTCAACCTTTACTTGAAACAAGAAACTAACTTCTTAGCATTCCATGGATTAACCGTGCGGGTGCCGGGTTCATCGTGTGGCAGAAAGGGAAACTCCGAGCAGTTCCCGGGATAATTAGACAGCCAGAAATTTACTATAAATATTTTCTAAAGGAATAACTACTATAGCAAATCTAACGTCTTAAAGTTTACGAAAAAAACAATCAAAATATTCAATGTACAATATACAATTGCAGTAGGAATCTTTTAAAATATGAAGTTTCTATATAATTATAACAATAATTTGTAAATAAAATGCTATTCAATATATTTTAATTTTTATATAGGTAGTATATGTAGGTACAAGTTAATATTTTTGGGAATCAGGTACGGAGTTATTAGTAATATCGAAGCAATATAGTTCTACAGTCTACAAGGTCTGGTGAGTCAGCATAAATATGAAATGATTGCTTTTACAACATATGTACCCTTAATTACTGCGAAATGGACGTCGTATCTATGCTCAATATAAATAGAGCAACCTTTTATCGTGTTGTCAAAACTACTGTAACAAAACGAACAAAGGTATTAATTTTTATAGTTTTATTGTGTTTGTAAATTATAATCTTCACAATTTAGATATCATTTCACTAGGCAGTATTGTGTATTTACATTGACGAACTATAGATTCAGCATCCATTTAGTGGTAATGGGCTCAATAAGACGACTTGTATCTAGATCCATAAAAAAAATAATAATAACAAAATTGTAATAAAAACAGTGAATTAATCAGAATTCCAACAAAAAAAAATTCTTTATGGCGGGGTCTATAATATTTATGTATACATAGATAACAAATTATAGGTTGTCAGTTATGTTATAGACTTCTACTTTGGAATGTCAACATTTTGGCAATTTTATATATTTATCACATAATTTTCACAGAATAAAAAACGTGAAAACACGTCAACTTATACTTGATGCGCTGTATTTATTGTAATATACACAAATTGTATCCACAGAACAAATATTAATAAAAGAAATTTTATGAAGCCGGAAGTTTTGTGTTAATATCTTTGGCATTTAATTTATTTTTCCTAACAAGCCAGTCTGTAATAGATATAGCGTGTACATATATTAAATATATATATAGTTGATAGGATACATATATAGAAATTCCAAAACAAAACCTTATTATAATGTAAATTCATATTGTAGGCTTGGTAAAAGTGTAATGTTTTTTTTTATTCTGTGGTTATATCTTTTGTGATCAGGACCTATAGTTTGAAGTAATTTGCAAGTGCGATCGTGTACCATTATATTATTTTTGGTATATCTTAATAGTGGTTATTCAGACATTATAGAAAATGTTCAAAAATGTATACATAATGATCCGCCGTCGTACAAACCAATTGTTTCAAATTTGTGACTCTAATTTGTGATATACATATGAATGTGAAAGTTGATACATGAAATAAATTTTCTACAAACCACATACACAATCTCTCTTATAAAAACGTCATGTTTAAATAAATTCATTTCAGTTATTGATAATGTTTCTGACTACCTCATCTGTGATAATAGCCGTGAACATACATAATATTTTCTTTCTAACCATTTTCGTAATTTAGTAGTGACCAAATTTAATTCTAGTATGGTTTTTTATGAATTAAGCTGAATATATAATAGTTACAAAAAATATTGGAAGAAAAGTGAGGTTAAGTTTAGTATACGGGAGTTTTATAGATGGCACAATATAATTTATTTACTATTTACTTATATAGTCATTAATACTTTAAATTAGGACATTGGTAGGCACTCGTGTTGGTACTCATATAAAATACATAACTTAAAATTTAGAATATTCCAAAGTGGTCCAAATCCCAAATGTATAAGATTTCCGCTTTATAGCATTGTTGCGAACTATTTTTACGCATATTTTCTTCTTTGTCTGTTTCTTAGAATAGTTTTGTTTTACATTTTGTCAAATTATTAGTAGAATAACGAACAAGAACACGACGTGACCGATAGAGCAGTTAATACAACGCTTAGTAAGAGTTGTCTCCGCTCTTACGAGAACTAAAACAAAATTGCATCTATGCATATGCAAACAAAACCTTCAACATGAATTATATATTGTATAGTTTGTACAACTTGTAAATATATCTATAGTGCTAAAAAATTAGTTGCACTGCTTCAAACTTATTTTATTTTGGCGTGGAAGCTTAAATTGCTATTTCACTTCGATTTCCACTTCTGCCATATAATCCTGTACATTTTATACCAGAATATAAAAACAAAACAATAACTATTAAAAATAGAAACAAAAAAGACTATATATATATATAAATATAGCTGGCAGCAAATACCAAAGCGAATTGTGATTGTTTACAAACCATTAGAAGATAGAGCACAAGTCAATTCACAATAATAACATACTAACTACGACCTGCAACAACTATCAAGAATTAGCAGCGTCCGAGTCCTCTGTCCTGTTTACCGGTACCAATGCTTTCTCCAATTCCGGTTTCCTATCATCCGCTTTCTGGCACGCCTCTAGGACGTATTTGTTGAATAAGTCCGGTTTATCTAGGTATACGTGATGGCCGGCGCCATTTATACCCTGTAGAAAAATAAAACAATCTATTTATTATATATATTTTTTTATCAAAACACGTTCTATGTTATCGAAGTGAAACCATACTATCATTATCGGGTATTGTATACATAATTATTAATATTAAAATTGGGACATACGTTCGATTTTAATACTCATTACTAATATCTAAAATATCCTTACTTTTCTCAATAATTGTGGTGTAATTTCAAAAGTTTCTACCAACATACTTTCATTGACGAAATATTTTCTCAAATACTTAGTCACTTGTTAAAATAACCATGATTCTAAACTTCGGTTTGATTTGGTTAGGTTCGGGCGTTAGTTATTTGTTTTGACTGACCTGACTTTATGTTATCATCCTATACTGGTATTCTGTTATGCGTTACGCCGATAAAGCAGACGAGAGCATGATATCACCCGTAAAAATATAACAATATATCCAAATGAATTCAATCAAAATATCTTTATTCACGTAGATCTATTATAATAACGTCAGCTCGGTGTGTTTTCGACATACAAAGAACTGACAAAAAACTGAGCTCTTATTCTTTTCAATTGAACTTGTACATTGGAGACACAGATTCATTTTAAATTCAATTAGAGAGAATATAGTGAGCACTCCTACTATATGGACAAAATAACATTTATATCTATTCACACAAAAAAAAAAACAATCATTGTAATCCAACACGGCACATCGAGGCAGTGTACCTAAAATTCTAGTTCGTTGCCAGATTATACTAGACCTTATTACCTGGACATAAGTCTTGTCAGACTGGCGATATTCGCTGAGCAACTGCCCAGTGGAGTTATCTACCCATGATCTCGAGCCATAGAGCACGGTGATCGGAAGATTAGGGTCTAACTTGTCGAATCGCTTCACCATGGGATTTTTCGCCCAGCCAAACCCTTGCATCAATGTATGAAAGGCGCTTTCTCCGCTGTAAAAAATGAAATAAATAAATAACACTGGGATATCTAGTCTCACGGCAAGCATAGTTTATTTTATAATCCGGCGGGACTGACTGTCCCGTATACTAACCGTGCTCAGTTTTTTATTATTAAATCACGCAACGTTCGTACCTCTAATTTAATAAAAAGGGAGTTCACCGTTTTTAATTACTATTATAATTGTATTGATTTTTCTAAATATAATTAAAATTATAAACCAATAAAAATATGTTTAAGATATAAAAATAAAGAATATCACTATATAATTTTGTTTTTTATTTGTCACAAGTAAACTAAATTCCAAAAAAATCTGGCAAATGTTAGAGTAAATACGAACAAAGAAAGTGTTGCTTGACTTCATTGACTGCAATATGTTTTAATGTTAATTCCTTATAGCACATTACGTCGCTTATAATACATTACGGTACGGATGTGCGTGGATTCGTGCGGCTAGCTATTTGAGTTATACAGTTATTAATAGGTTACTCTTATTGATTTTCTATTTTGTTTGTATTCAAGTTCGGCATGAGAGTAAAGAAGGATCAGAAAGAGTATTTTATGAATAAAAATTAATAATATTATATACTAAAGAGGTTCGGGTGGCCAAAGGTCCCTAACTAATTGTCGAATACGCAAAAATTACCTTCAATACGAGCTAAAATAAACATGCACGTTGTTATCAGGGTCAATGTAGTCCTTTTTATTAAAAAAAATCTGATTCGACAAATTCTCTTTCGTTAAACAGAGTAAGATGTGAAAATACTAAGATTTTAAAATGCTTTTCACCATTTTTGCAACATTTTTAATTAATAATAACCCTAGACAATTCTTACAGGGCCATCTAGTCCCAAGCAGAGCTTGTGATATGGGTACTACACAACTGATATTAATACACAGGGACATTTTTTTGTAAATATATACATAAATATACATACAAATAATCATCCTCATGAATATAAGTAATTGTATGTCCGAGGAATCGAACTTGCGAACATCGGAGGCTAAGCGCTAGACCAACGAAGCCGTCAGATTAAATAAATAAATAAATAATTAATTCTACATTTATTCTTTACGTACATAATTATAGATCTATATTATATTTTGGGCCGATATATATATAAAAACTCAACTGATTTCCTACTTTTAAATTTAATTATGACAATCATCGATTTCGTAAAATTTTTATATATAAAATAGAAAATCATTTATTCAAATAAACTTAATTTAAGCTTTTGAATAGTCATAACACTTTTTTTATTATTTATCACAAGAAGAACTAGCAAGAAACTTGTGCGTTGCTCTTTTAGATAATCCTTTTAAGTTCACATTTACAAGTCGAAACATGTGAATACAAACTCATCGAATATATATTTTCAATATATATTTTCTTCATTAACAGACATACCCGTTGTAAATTATGTATAAAATATATTCTTAGGTATTTATATTGATTGTTATAACAGCTATATTATCTATACTTAAAATAGATTTGTGACGGTATCAATATTTAATTACATAAGTGCTAAGCAATTACAGCACAGAACAATGGCACAAATGATATTGAATACTTATTATACAACGGGACGATCTTCGAAACGTATAATATGAGACTGTAAATAATATTGCATCCTATTTTTCAATACGTACATATAATATAAGTTAGTGTAAAGCGCTTTTGCTGTAGACAAACTACCAAACAGTTTTTCTGTTTAATAATTCTATTTTTGTATTAAATAGGATTTTTTTTATACGTGAAGATAAAATTTTACGAAATTTGCGCGGACATAGGATTATGAAATTCCGCACACGTATGGTTTAGATAGAGAACGTGTGCAGAATGCTAAAATTAATCATACACATAGAATTTGAACCATAGAACCATAATTTATATAAATATGATCGACTAGTACTTAATATTGCTGTTATAATCGGTTTTTTGTGGCCTTAACTGATGGTTTTAAATAGATATTAGGTTATAAAATAAATAAAAAAATATGATTATAAAATACCTTGGCGTCTGCGAGTTGCATTGGTAGATGTATTCCGGTATAATCGTTTCAGCGTCTTTAATATACTTGGTATACTTCCTAGAGATGTCTGGGCGGGTCTTGCTGACCAGCCACTTGCCGGCCGGGCCCGCGGCGCGGACCGCCCACAGAGGGTTGAACGGCTGCACGACGGTGGCCACGGCGCGTACCCAAAATGGTACTTGGTACTTCTCGTATACATTTGACGGTTTCTCGTTGAAGCCCCACGGATCGGCGAGGATTAAGTGTCGCACTCTATATTGGAGAATAAAAAGAAATACAAACTTCCGACTCTTTGCACTTTACAATTATTGTAGGGATCAATTTTTTTAAACATAAATTATTTCTATATTACTTACTGATAACGCTTACTTTAGGCAAAATATATTTTCATGACACTGATTACAGTCTTTGGGTAATACATTAACAGACAAACCGTAGAAGTACTGTAACAGACAATATATTCAAAACTGCATTCTACTATATTCTCACTGTTATACACCTAATATGGGTTTGTAGTACTGGAATGTCATATTTCAATATTTCAAATAAATAAATGTTTAAAGAAGAAAAAAATATCTTTTACATCAGAATTACACATAAGCTACTAATTTCACGCGGGTAGCTGTACCCGTAGTCATCCATAAAATAATAGACAGGGACTGTGGTACCGTGCGCATTTTTAATCTATCTCTGGAATTTAATACTTTTTAATGTTACCTTTCCGGGTACTTCATAGAATAAGCAGTCGCCAAGTAGCCGCCTAGACTGTGTCCCAGTAGGATCATCTCCTCGAGCTTCACCTCCCGGCGCCATTCCTCCACCGACTCCACCCATTGCGCCTCGGCCTTCTCCGCATCATCCGAGAATTTCGGACGGGAGCTTCGGCCGAAACCTATATGATTTTAGTTATATAAATATACATAAAATATTTTTTTAAACTTATCTTGTTTATTTGAAAATGGAATGGAACACAAGGTGATCTATTCTGTGAGTCTATTCTGGAGCCTAAAATCAATTTCGATTTCAATCAAATTAATTTGTATACTGTTCTTTTAAAATGTAATCAAGACAAAACCGAATTATAATAATCCGTTTAGTATGGATATTTAAAACCTATAATTGTTTTAAATGATACGTTTATTTGAAAATGGAATGGCAAACAAGTTGATGGACGCACATGCGGGTCTATTCTATAATCTAATCGCAATTCGGATTTCAAATAATTTTTTATACTGTTTTTTATATGTAACCAAGACAAAACTGAATAAATTCAATTTTTTTCGGTTTAATACGGATATTCAATAGTCACGTTTTACGCAAAAAATAGTAAAACATATTATTATATTCACTAATAGCACAGATAACATAATATTACATACAGATACCCCGTCCCATACAAGAAAATGGTTCCTTCCTAACTCGGGCTATTCTTCGGGCTATTTTATTTCGCCACCGTAGCCGCTAGATGTCGCTAGATCTGAAGCAGTTCGGATTACTAGTGGGTGCTTGCAAAGCATGAAAATAGATGGCAGTGAATTCAGTCTACATGACATCTGTTTTGCAAAGATATGTATATAATAGATATGTAGGTAACTGTATCGTGTACCTCATTAGGGACGATTCAAGATTCAATGTAAATGTGTAGGTATAATATCGTTAGCCGACACTCTGCAGATATGGCTTATGTGCCAATGTATATACCTATTATGTTATGGTTTATTTTACATTCCATGCCTATTTTTTTGATATGTTGTAACGCGTCTGCGCTACGTATAGCCCGATTTTGATACTTTTATACTCGTACGTATCAAAATCGGGCTAATTTCAATCGTTATGTGTAATCGACTGGTTTTAGCTACAATTAATTTACTGGTATATACCTCATGTATTCTACGATGTACCCCTCTTTTCCCTAATGAGAATTCCGCTATATCTTATATATAAATTTTGTATCACAGTGTTAGTTGCCATATTTCTCCCACATTTTGATGAAATTTGATATGTACACTTGCCAGGTCTGAGGTAGGGTTGTTATCTATTTTTTATACCCCTAAGTCATAGGGGTGGCCTACCCCGAAAAAATATTTTTTTGTTTACATTGAAAATACATACACGCCTAAATTTTCACCCGTCTTTCACCAACCCCTATTTTTAATAGCGATATTCTTACAAATATTATAAATGCTAAAGTAACTCAGTCTGTCTGTTTGTCTCGCTTTCACGCCAAAACTACTGAACTGATTTAATTGAAATTTGGTAGACAGATAATGTAGACCCTGAGAAAGGCTACTTTTTAATGCGAAAAAGTATTGAAAGGGGAAATGAAAGGCTATATGAGGATATCGTAATTTTTAAAGTCAGATCTTGTAAGATTAAGTGAACAGGGTTGGTCTAGGTTTTTCATTATTAGAAATGTGTAACGGGGTAACACGTTATTTAGTGCAAAATTGTGTATATTACAATAAAATTTAACGAGAAAATATTATAATGATGTCACTGGGACACTCATTGCCTTACTACTATATCGTCCGTTAGTCGCGAACTTTCTGGAAACACGAGAGGCGCGCTCCTATTGGTTAGTAGATGAGGTAGACGAGTCTCACGGCGCCGCAGCGTAAGTACTTACTATACATACGTAGTATACATATGGGTGTTACAAATGTTTTTATTACGAGTAATATTACTCTGTTATCTAAGCAAGTAATGTGTGCTTATTTTGAATTTGATACCATTCTGAATTACTCGTATATCTTTCAATATCTTTAGCGGTATAAACCAGGTTATGTACTACTACTAGTATTGTTAGTGAGGGATAAAGTTGATGAACAAAAATAAAACAATATTCGTATTAAAAATATATTCATCTAATATTTTTGGCATTATTTTTAAGTTTCTTCCAAATACAAGGGGTCTGACATGGGGTGTTATGTACCTACATTAGAAGATAATTTACCTACATTAGAAGATAATTTTTGACATGTATGAAATGTATGTACCTACATAAAAAGTTCATTTTTGAAATGTATGAAAGAAATGTATGTACCTACATTAAAAGATAATTTTTGACATGTATGAAATGTATGAAAGAAATGTGTGTACCTACATTAAAAGATAATTTTTGACATGTATGAAATGTATGAAAGAAATGTAGTACCTACATTAAAATATAATTTTTTAAATGTATGAAAGTAATGTATGTACCTACATTAAAAGATAATTTTTGACATGTATGAAATGTATGTACCTACATAAAAAGTTCATTTTTTAAATGTATGAAATGTATGAAAGAAATGTATGTATGTACCTACATTAAAATATAATTTTTTAAATGTATGAGATGTATGAAAGAAATGTATGTACCTACATAAAAAGTTCATTTTTGAAATGTATGAAATGTATGAAAGAAATGTATGTACCTACATTAAAAGATAATTTTTGACATGTATGAAATGTATGTACCTACAAGTTCATTTTTGAAATGTATGAAATGTATGAAAGAAATACCTACATTAAAATATAATTTTTTAAATGTATGAGATGTATGAAAGAAATGTATGTACCTACATAAAAAGATCATTTTTGAAATGTATGAAATGTATGAAAGAAATGTATGTACCTACATTAAAAGATAATTTTTGACATGCATGAAATGTGTGTACCTACATTAAAAGATAATTTTTGACATGTATGAAATGTATGTACCTACATTAAAATATAATTTTTGAAATGTATGCACCGTACAATAACAATACACGTTAAACATCATACCACAGAGTCATACGCAAGTTAAAAACAAACTGCTATGATATATTAATGAGAAAGGAAAATCAACTTTATGGTATTCGAGTTAGGGTCGATTTCTCTCTTTTTTTTAAATACTATTTTAATCTTACCAGTTGCCAGTATTCGAAGACAGCTACGATTCGTACTCGATATTTTAAATTATTATGTAATCGATTATTCAGTACAAATGTAAATAACCAACGACACTAATAATGTACTACTATATTCCGTTCTTTGAAACGGAACACTGCTATAATACATAATAATGAAAATTTACTGTTCACAACGACTCATTAAAAGCATCATCGAATAATGCGCTGTAATAAAATCCTGTTATCGATTATTAAAAAAAATCGATAATACATGTATTTATTTTTAATATGACAACACTTCATACATAAGTATTATTGAAATAGTATTACTTGCTTGTTCGGCTATTTTTAATTTACTTAAAATTTTTTTATATGTTTAATTTACAATAATAATATATTAAGTGCTTATTATTGGAAAATATAAAAAAGACATTTAATTAGGCCGATACAAATGACGACAATGCCATCTATGAAAGCATTTTGAAAACATTGAGCCCCATATTAGCACTGATTAAAGTGTAATTAAGTACTGGAAAATAACAAAATGAGTAAATATATGAAAATTACTTTTCTAAACGCATTATTTCATTTTAACATGTATATATAACTTTTTAAAAATTGATTAAACATTTTTGAAAACACAGTTTTGTTTTTTAAAACGTTTGCAAAACTATGAAGAATTCCATCGATACCAATCACGCCATCTATATGCAACTTTTAGCAATAATAATGGCTACTTCCTCATTGAGTGCCACTGCTAATAGTGACCCGGGCAGACGTTGTCATTTCCAAAATTGCAACATCGCCTACCGGGTGCAATTGTTGTTATCAACATATCCAGGAACCCATTGAAATATACACACAAAATTCAACTAAGTTTAAGAGAAATTAGGTGATAAACATACATACAAAAGAATCATATATATATATAAGATATTACAGCAGCATATGAATCACAGAATCCTATAAATATTGCATGTAATGTACTTACATCAATGACTTTGACAGCCGCTTTTATCATTGAATATTCATAATGACTGTGCACAAATGTACATAAACAAAACTTTTGATTGAATAAATATAGAAATGTTAGACAAATAAACCATTAAGTGACATACCTATATTATACGAGTATAATGATCATCTGCCTCTACCTGATCCCATTTATTTGGGGTCGGCGTAATATGTTTTTCTCTTCCATTCTTTACTCCCTTTCTTACCATATCTTCTTTCACACAGTCCATAGTCCATTAGTCCATAAAATATAGTAAATCAATGTTGTTTTTGTAACTAAACGTTAAATATAAGTAAAAAAATAATAATATCTAAATACTCCTTTGAATTGCGATATAATTATGTACCAATAAAGCTGTAAACACTGTAATTAAAACTAGCTATGATGTAACAGTGTTACGCTGTGAAACTTCTAGACGGTTGATATTCTAAGAAACAACATGTGTGTTATAAAAAACTGTAACGACTGTATGTAATCTTAGATGAAGTAGTCGATTAAATACAATCAAATAGATACAGTCAAAATAAAATATAAAATGACAATCACTTTTCGAATTGTTTAAAAAAAGTAACAGTGTAATCCTACGTTATAAATTTGGATGTTTGTTATAGAGATGACACAAATATTCGTCTTCTATTCGGTTTTTGGGCCAATATTGTATACTTTTGGCAGATTAATATTATGCGTTGGTTTCATAATTTGAATACCCAATTATGAACTAAAAATATTGGATGTGGTTAATGTAAAAATTATCATCTTTTTGTGATAGGAAAGAGTTCTTTGCGATATTTGAAATCGGTATTTAACAAAATCACTATTCTCCATAAGACCTTCCGTTAATTTGGTGTGGCATCTGCACTCGCCCAATTTAAGTTCGGCGACGCTGTAAAGGCCAGCGGCTGCAAACAGCATTAGATAAAAAAAGCACCAAACCACTTCCGGCTTTGAATGAAATTTGAAAACATATCGACTCACATCACATTAATACAAAACAAGAGAGATAAGAGAATGAGACACAGCCTGTATAACTAAAACTCACCCAAAACGTCAATAGCATAGACAGGCCTGTTCGCGGAGAGAGCGTCAAGATTTGGACACCAGAGCGCGACACCAGCGCCCATGCCATGCAGCAACACCAGTGGAGTCTTCGGCGACTCGACGTTCAGTGATATAGTCCATATTTTATCACTCTGTCCCACAACCGATCCAATATCCACGTAGAAACTCTTGTATACTGTGTTAAGACCTGCAAAAAAGTGGAGGGTTCAATTTACAAACTTATACAAGTTTTTTATAATTGCTTTATATTAATCGGGTAGTAAACGTATTCCGTATTTATACGTTACGAATCCCAATTCACGTTTTTCATATGACAGAAATATTGCGAGATTGTTTCACATTTGATAAATTCCTAATATTTAAGACATATTTGGTTTTAGCTGTGCTCACAATTTCGACAGTAGACGAATAAGATTGAAAATCGTGATGAAATAATACCTAATTAAAAACTTGCTTTCAGTCATTGTCTACAATGAAGGGATAAACAACGGATGCAAGAGTTAATCAATCAATGCTAGAAATAAACCAGATATTTACTTTCAGTGATTCATATGAACCTATCTACATAATTCTAAAATAATTTGTTACAATTGTGAGACCACATGGTGGTATAATACGTGCCCGCGATTTCATACGCATGAAATTTATAGCGTTATTCTGATTTACAGCGCTATTTTATTGTAAAGTGTCCTCAAAATCCAGTTCACTAGGTTTTGCGTGAAGAAGTAATAAACATCAATCCATTCATCTATACTCACAAACTATAGTAATTATATTAAAAAGATCATTAATCTAATATTACAAATGCGAAACTGCATCTGTCTGTCCGTTACCTTAAACGAGTAAAGGGCTGAATGGGTCATAATAAAATTTCAAGTGATTGATTATCGAGGACGGATACAAGCTATCTTTAATGTCAAAAAAACGAAATCGCGGGTAAGATGATACTCGAGAACGTAGTAAAACATATTATTATCAATAAATAATACTACACGAACACTTGGTTCTTATCCAGTACAATTTCATTGTACACATTTATTCCGGTTACTAATTGCCGTATTATAAATACCTTATAGAATAATATACATATGTAATGTATGTAAGAATACAAATAAATATTTATGTGGTCACGGCACTAACGAGTGCAATCTGCCACAATAGTGCCGATAAATCATCATCTATCGGCCAGTAGGTAGTTCTCCTTCATAAAGCTGGGCATCATGTTGGTGGACCTAGGACCCGGTAAAAAAAAATACCGTAGTGTTATTATTTAAATGTACGAAATCTCCGCAAATTGATGTTTTTGTAACGTTCTTCCTTAATTCAAATATGCCAGTCACGTTCAGATTCGTCATTCGGCGACGTAGTAACGTTACATTAGTCAGAGTGCCCTTGAATGTTGTAATCCAGGGCCGTCCAAACATGTTACGATCTCGGTTAATTAAAAAAAAGTCTAAAATAAGTTGAAGGGCCGCGGAATCATAAATATATGTATTCCGACTGAAAAATAAAACTTTGGGACGCGAAATATCCATATATTTATTCTTTGGCGTAGTTTAAGGATTCGCAAAAAATCAGGATGACTCTTGTTAGGTATAAATATAAATAGGTATAAATTCATTTATGTATGTGGTAATCAAAGTAAAATACTGTGCATCCAGGATGTGAATTAATATTACAAACCCGAAAGTGTTTGTTATTTTGTCTTATCCATTATGATTCTAGTAATAAATGGCTGAACGAATGTAAATAAAATTATACGTGTAGATGTTCCACGACTTTTATAAAATGAAATTTCGTATTTGTGCCAGATCAAACCGCATGCAGTCTACGGTCCTTACTTTAGACAGCTCTGTTGTAATTCATACTTGTTAAAGTATACGCGAACATTTATGTCCATAGATCGTTTTAGCTATTTCTTAAACTACACTTATTTTTTTTATAAACTCCTTTATTAAATGAAATAAACTGATTTTACAACTCTTGCATCTAGAGAAAAATACGTTTTCAGTAAATACGTAACGTGTTAGTTATTTAATAGTAAAAAATTAAACTCCTGCAATAATTGTACTCACGCGAATCCGGTGCATGCCGCTATATTGTTACATATTCAAGGATCTCCGGGATCGTTGTACATCGATAGTATATGTTATATGATGACGCATATTAACAATTATCTAAATACAATCTTATCAATCGAATCCATTATATACAATATACATTATGTTATTACGTCATTCGACAATATACGGAGGCGCGCAGTGAATAATTGGAAGTAATATAAATTTAATGGAATTGCGTTGAAATCAGTGAAAATGTAAGTTATTGTAAAACACAAATAAAATACATAAAAATCTAACATCCCATTATCGTGCCAATCTATGAAAATCAGCTGTAAAAAAATTATTTTTGGATACGAAATAAAATTGCAAATTTAATTTAATAAATATGTAGAAATTAATGGATCAGTAGAATAAGATAACATACTGCCCGCCCAAATAATGGGATAAAAACTTGTCAACGATGATATTGAACAATATGTTCAATAAAAAATAATTAGAAAAATTACTACAGTAATATTATAGAGTGCAATTTGCCAAGTATTGTGGTAACGAAAGTATCGTATCCGTGAGAACCCCCGGTAGGCCTTCATATGCTCTGTCGGCATCTTGCTGATTTTGCAAATTACGCAATTCAGGCCAAAAGGTTCTATATTAGTGCTAGCACAAATAATAATAATAATCCTGAATAGTTCATACAGCTCCATCTAGTTCCAAACTAAACAGAGCTTGTGTCATGTTTATTAGACACTTATAGAAATAATTAAATATATGTTTCTTACAAAATATATGTTACATACATATAGAAAACATAGAAAATATAAACAATCATAGTGTGTAATACAAATGTGTGTATGGTCCGAGGTATGGAATCTGCAACCATGGGATGTAAAGCGGTATGCTAAGCCGTTAAAAGACGTGCCGTTCGTAGATTACACCGTGTAGTAACACTTCGAGAAATTGTAAATTATTTTTATCATATAAACTCTTGCAGTTAGATAATTACATATATTATAGTAGATAGGTAAATACATTTATCAAAAAAGTTTCTTCCGTCTAATATCATGTTGTAAATGATAATATTATAAGAAAACAATATTGTAAATAAACGAACAAACCAAATTGTTAGGGTGAGAGTGGATAAGCTATTAATGGTAGTAGTGTCGTGTCAGGTCTACGTAATGAGCTACCCTTTAAAAACACGATGCCGTAACTAACCTGACTAACGGTCCTAGGATATAATTTTAGGAGGTATATACTTATCCAGTATTGCCTGCTTAGTGCTTACCCCAAAAACAGCTGATCATTATAATAATAAAGTGTTTATATTATACTGAAATTGAAGTGGTCTAAATACATAATTAAGAGTGGCAATATGTAGTTTGTGTGTTAGCAGTCCAGTGTGATTTTGAGTGCTAACACCGCTAACTAGCGCGCCGAGATTGTATTCAAAATGTACATTTTTTTATAAGACAAGCATTTACAATTTTATTTTATTTAATTAATTTATTTTTCCTTTAAAGTTTTAAATTTACACAGAATATATATAACTTTAAAAGTATTTAGATAATGATTAAGACGGCGTGGTTAATTTAATTGACTTATATAAAACGAGGCAATTCTAGGTTCTAATTTTGAAAAATGTTATGTTTCTATTTAATCGACGGATTGTGTAAATTATTTTTTAAATAATTGCCAGTATTCTGTGAACATATTTGGGAGTATAAATTTAAATACGAGAAAATTATTGAAAGCTATAGGTTTTAGAATTCTATTCAGACAGTCATTCCGGGTCTATTTAAGGCACAAAATATAATAAATGCATAAACGAAATTTTTTTGTCAAATCAACTTTTAAGTTAAAGCAGTAAATAATATTTCCCAAAATTTGTAACCCAATAATCATAATTGCTATTCCAGCTATTACTCAAGGGCATCATACTCAATGTGCTCATGCTACCGTTCAAGTCTACAGATAAGGTCAGTAAGAAAATAATCACTGCGATTTCTACTATTCAACAGGTGGAATGTTGCTATTACTGAGTAATCGCTACTTTACTTTTTTTATTTTAAGTCATTAAATTTTTTTTATTTAATTAAGAACGTAAAGCATTTATACCTAAGTTTTACAAATTACATTTTTAAATACATTGTCAAGAATCTGTAACTCTCTAAAGAAAATATTATTATCCTATTTATTTTAGACAAATAAAAAGTATGATACAGCTACAGATTACATAATAGTACGATGTCATTGTGGAGATTCACAATGTAGGAAATGACTAATAAAGGACCCCTCTAATACGAAGCAGGGTCAGGTGATGTTGTTACTATTATGTTAATACTACTTAGGTACTCAATGTCACATTAATTATAATATTTTTTTTGTAATATTATATTGATATTTATTTAAGATTTACAGTACTGTACGGGTATCTATTCCCCGTACTTGTTTGTAAGGTTGCGGGTGCAGGTGGAAACAAGAAAGACAAGTGTAATTATCCTCTCGAGCAGAGTTCGGTGGTCTGTACTAGCGATGGAAGCGGAATGAATTGTGCCGCGTTCGGCACCTATATTTATACTCCGCCCGCTCGCACCGTGTCACGTACTAGGTAACGATTGTGTTACGCACATAGGTGCGAGCGGGACGGAGAGCGCGAAAGACCACCTCTACTCGCTCCTTTATTTATTAATTTAAACTTTACATACAATGCAATTATATTTAATTCTACCTATTAGGGAATTGAAACTACTACAATTATAAATTTTATTAAGCTAACAATAATCAAATATTTACAATAGTCGCGAACATATCTCCCGCCGCAGCTAAGCTGTATTTAATTCGAGTTCGCGTTGTTCGATTGGCAGGATTACTAATTTCTTCGTAGGCCGCCGAAGTATCCCCTTGTTAGTGCGCACGTCGACCGCCCGTATTTCACCATCCGGTCCCGGATACGTAGCCACCACCACGCCGCGCGGCCAGGAGTTCCGAGGCAGGTTGCCGTCCGCCACCAACACCAAGTCTTCTAACTTGATGACTCCGTGTGTAGCTCGGGGCTCCCGCCGGTGTTGTAGCTGGGGTAAATATTCTGTTACCCAGCGCCTCCAGAAGCAGTCAGCGAGCCACT